AAAAGAAATTGCTCTCTTCGAAACATATCGTAACTTCTTCCATCTACTTCTTGTTCACGATACGAAGTGATGATGGTTGGTTGTTCTAGTTTTAAAGTATTGATATACGTCGATAAGATTATGTCAAGCAGCTGAGATCTTCCTCAAGTATCGCGAGAAACATCCATAATTCAGCGTTGTTCAAAAAAAAGGGACGAAACTTTTATGAATATCACGATCAAAAATACAAGCGTTTTGCTCGATACAAATTATCTTGTTCCCCATAAATCTTGTTTTTCCAACAATATCCATCAGTTGATCGTCAGGTCTGAAGGTTTAGTCAAGATAACACATTTTTCAGTATATATATCTCAGAACTCGGAATATTGAACACGTATTTTTTGAAGGGAGAAGGTAGAGCAATGTCTTGATCTGTTAAAGCCCAAGAAAAATGATTTTCTCACGAGTATATAATCTTCCCCTTTGTACAAAGTCCGTCAGGCGAGAAATTAACACGCCAGGAATAATCGATGAATCTTTATATCCACTGAGGGAGAAAGAAATCTTCCTTAGTAATAAAAATTAGCATCGTGCGATCTCTTCGATAAATATCATCACGCTAATCAAACGCGCCGCGCGGATTCGAAGCGTCATTAAAAATACATACGAAGAGAGAGTTAATTTGAACTTGAAAATATGCTATACCTCCGGGAAAAATTTTTTATATATAATTATATGTGAAATATGTCATATTTTTATACATAATTATATAAATTTATATATATAAATTATAAGGGTTCATATATAATCGCATATCAAATTATATATGAAACATATATATTTATATACATATATAAAGAAATACTTATTATATATATATATATATATATATATATATATAATTTATATAATTTATATAAAAAGCACTTTTATCTATGATTATGTATGGAGATATTTCATATATAATTTTATATTGTTATATATAAAAAATGTTTTCACGAGCCTAAACAATTTTCGCGATATTTCTCGCGAAGAGAGAGATCGATGAAGAAAAAAAAAATTTGCGCGTATACTAATTCTTCGATTCAATAACCCGAAAGTTAATCTTATCTCGGGGCTATTCTTCCCTCGCATCGGCGGATATCGACGGCGATCAAACGCAGAAGGGACATATGCTTCCGGTCTCGCGTTCGCGCGACTCGTTGACATTCATGCCGCTACGTCGGTTTTATCGATAGCCAGCACTACTGCCAGTAGTTCTCGCGATCGAATGGTGCTGACGTTATCACTTCCGCTCCGCCAGCCTTCGCAGACTCCGACTGCGCGCGCGTCTCGCAAATGATAACGACGTCATAATATCGATAACAAAAATAACGGCAAGGTCGAGCGTGTCTACGAGGGAAGAAGATTTGCTCGAGGCTAATTAGTTGAGAGATTATCCGATTGAGTAGACATTAGCTGGTAATTAAGACGGCATTTCTGTTCCCTCAAAATCGTATATCCAAAGTAATTACTTCTCCCAAAATTATCTCTCCACCGAAATTTTCTTAATTGGCAAAGATTTAACATTTGCAAAGTTAATTATACAGATGAGAGAATGTTCTCTTAAAATTTACTTTGAAAATTATCAAGAGTTTCTGCAATTAATATTTACCACAGATAAAAAATATTTATCTACCACAATAAGATGTAAAATATATTCAATTAATTTTACATATTAATATTTTTTATTGTGATATATTTTATTTTATTGTGTAATGTTTAATCAGAGAAACTCTTTGAAAATTCTTTCAATACCATGATTTTAGAGTAAATTCCAGAGAAAATTCTTTGTTTATAAAACTATTTTCTTTAATTGGCCAGCAAAATCTATGCACGAATTATATTATGTGTTCTATTATATGTTATGTATAAATACTATTGATAAAACATAGATAAATTTAAGATAAAAGATGCATAAAGAGAAGAACACGAACGATGTAATAAAATAGTTAATTATACAGATGAGAGAATTTTCTCTTAGAATTTACTTTGAAAATTACCAAGAGTTTCTCCGATTAATATTTACCACAGATAAACAAATATTTATCTACCACAATAAAATGTAAAATATATTCGATTAATTTGACATATTAATATTTTTTATTGTGGTAAATAATATTTAATCACAGAAAGACTTAATTCTTCCAATACCATGATTTTCAGGGTAAATTCCAAAAGAAAATTCTCCGTTTATAAATCTATTTTTTTTAATTGGCCAGCAAAATCGATGTGCGAATTATATTATGCGTTCTATTATAAGTTATATATAAATACTATTGATAGAACATAGACAAATTGAATAAGATAAAAGATGCAAAAAAAGAGAAGAATACGAACGATGTAATAAAATAGTAATAAATAATGACTCTTCGAAAAGCAAGCTATGGAATGTAATTAATGGGATTACAAGTAGCGGGTTCGTCTGGCAACTCGGCTGTTAATTAAGCTAGAGTTCCTAGACCACAGTCATGTGCGTGTGAATGTGATTCCAGCTGACTCTCTCCGTGCAACTGAGTTGCGTCTGGTTCACAACACGTCCCTGTCTAATGTTTTAGCGAGTCAGACAACGACGGACGAGGCATAAATTACTACGCATTTATGTCTCGCCACGTATACCGGGAGGCAGCGAAGCGAAATCCAATTATGATCCCGAAGGACGAGATGATGCTCGCAGCATCCGTCTTCCCTTCGGCTTCTACGCTTCCTCGGGAGGAAACATTTGCATCGATAATTGCGATCAACTGACACTGACCATCCCGTAAAACGTAGCTATCAAGGAAATTAGGGCACGCAGTTGAAAATTTTGTATTAAATATTTAACAGATATCACATCGTGTCCCGAACGGTCCACAGAAATTTTCGTGTTAATTTAATATAATATATGGATGTCTTGAATGGCGACACAAATACTGTGTTTATATTTTAACACAAAATAAATGCAAAATTTTAAGTAATTTAAAATTTTGTGTAAAATTAACATAGTTTTAATGTAAAAATTAACTAAAAATATATTAATTTTATCATCTCCACTTATATTATAAAATGGAAAATCAACATTTTTTTCTGTACATTTTAACAGATAAATCTTGTCATTAATAAAGCAGAACATATTTATTGTGTAAAATTAAAAATAGATATACATTGTATTATTTTTACATCTTTTCACAGTTGTTTTAATAATTTAACGTTTAAGTTGAATTACATCACAACAGCAATATGTTAAATTAACACATGAATGTGTTAAATATTTAACACAAAAATTTTAATGGAGACCGTGTTTAACAAGAAAACACATCCTATTATGCACAGATATTTTCCGTGTGTTTTTTTTATTTACAATAAGAAGCTAAATATTTTGCGACAAATTTTAAATTGATTTTTGTTCTTAGATCTGTCAAAGGTAAAATCCTTTTAAATGAATGTTACGTAGCTATGTCTTACACACGCGCTAAATTATTTATCCAATCTGCCTCTCGGATACGGAAACCTAGTTAAGTACGGTTAGTTAAGCGACGTTGACGCGAGCGTCTTTCAAAGGACTCTCGTCTCGTATAATAAGTAACAACGCTCTTAATAGCACGCGTTAGAGCGAATGAAGTCGTTGCTCCTTTCACGAACTTCCGCGGTCGCGATTGCGCGACGAGATCGCAAAGCTTTTCTAACGAAAACAAAAGGCGGGACTTGATTTTTTGCATTTACACAATTAAACTTGTTGGTTCGCGAACCACCATGGTGTCGCAAACTAAGTTATAATAATGTTACTCTCGAAACAGAACGTGAAAAGCATGACGGATTCTCTGTGTTGCTACGAGATAATTATTCAGGATGTGAAAAGATTCGCCGAATATAATATTAATGTAGGTAAGTATACCAATATTGTTGAATTCTACATATTTTTATAATACATATCATGTATAATTAATGTCATTATTATATTATATTATTTATGTCATTCTTTGATAATTTTATAATACATATCATGTATAATTAGTGTCATTATTATATTATATTATTTATGTCATTCTTTGATAATTTTTTAATTATCTATATATGATTATGCTGCTATATTATTTATTATGTATTTTATCATTCAAAGAAGGAAATGATAAAGTGTCAAATACGCGTATTCGACTAATGATGACATCTAAATGAAGATATATATATATGTTGCATTTTATATATAAAACATGCATTAAAGTGTCAACAAAATATTAAATATTGATGCATCGACGGGTCACCATTAACGGAACTCTACTGCTTTCGTGATACACATAAAGAGATTATAAGATTTAATTGCTACCGTAATGATCATATCATACATAGAAAGTATTTTCATCCATTAACCGGGATTAACACCGATTGACGACCCACTGGTGTAATACATCATATTTTCATAATAGTTACAAACTCCGCGCATATCTTAAAATGTTATGACATGAAAAATTGTAACAAGTTCGAAACTCTGAAAATATTATTTCCAAATAAGCCGAGACTAGTAACAGGCTTTCATTATAAGTGTATTTGCAAAAATTGCTTATTGCTCCCCCATATTTCGAATATATTTTCAAAAATTAGCATTTTAAAAAGATTATTATCCAAAGATTTATTTCTGAAATTTTATATTCTTGACGCTATTATTATTTTGATATTATTCGCAATTTTTCTGTGTCAAGTTGCCCTTATTTATTTTTTAACAATGGCACATGTTCGTCATTGAAGCAATATTAACGAAGCAATAATTTTATAAGCGACATAATTGAGATAAGCGAACTTTTTGAGAAATTACCCGACAGTTTGAGAACTAATTAATCGAATTTTCACTCGACAATATTCACCGGTGGGCCGAAGTGCATCGTGCAAGGGTGACATCCAAAAAGGGGATGCGGGTGCACTTTCGCCGAGGTCAGCCTTCGTTTTGATAGGGGAATACGTCGAAAGGAGCGTCTCGCGCACATCTTAATAAAGAAAATTGATCTTACGCGTGTACAATCGAGAAGAACGAGGGACACGTGGTCGAAGTCTCGAGTTCTTTGTCCTCTTTCTGTTTATCTTTTTCTTTATCGCCCACTTCTACCTGTATCTCTCCTCCTTTGCCTATTCTGTACCTCTGGCCCCAGAGAGAAAGCACTTGAGCCAGAAAACTCGATTTTTCAGAGAAAGGACTTATACGACTGATATCTCACTTATCTAACCGTTTAGTAACGAAATATATTTCGAATATGATGCCGGAATTTTTATCAATATTTTGCGGAAAGATTTAATATCGATCGATAGATTAATTAGATATTTTTTTGTTTGACATTTTTATTCATATTATTAATAAAACATTGAATTTTTATCGCTTTAAAAATTTGAAACAAAGATTTTGCGAAAACAATTTTTCTCAATTATATATAATTATAATACTTGATTATATTTTATTATTTTGTAATTTTGTAAAACACATTAAATCAATTCGTACTACTGTTATATAGTCAGCACACGGTGAAATTTATTTAGTAAATTAATCGGACTTAATCGTCAAAACAATGTCTGTGCATTATTAAAAAAAAATAATAATAATAAATAAATCAAATGAAAATAAAATATATCTGTGAATCAATCGTTTCAGAAAGGAGATACTAGATTCCAAAATCCCTGTATTTTTCGCGAAAAAACATACAAAAAATATAAAAAATAGTATTAATACGATATTGCATATATATACGCAATCTCTATTACCATCTTATTTTATCGCTGCTCCTACTCGATGTCCCCTGCGTCAACGGCTGAAATAGATACCTTTCAACAACAACGTGTGTTTACATTAAGAAGAAAAAAAGAGAAGAATTTCTCATTTCTCTCTTTTCGAATAGCCCTTTCTAAAACGAGTGCTTCATTTACTCAAACTATTTACTTTTGGAGGCGATTGCGTCAAGTGCTTTTTCTTTGGAGATCGAAGAAATTAGATCTCTCCCTTCCTATCTCTCTCGCTCCCTCTTTCTCTTTTATCCCCCGCGAACCGAGCGCGACCGCGTTGCACGCGAGCCGATGCAGCCGTGTCGCCGGAGCAAACAGGTGTTCCCGCGTGGAATGCGCGACCGCATACTGAACGTCGACACGCGGCGACGGATCCGTCCCTTCCCTTCGGGGTGAGATTCCTCTTCGGCGCGCGCGTCTGCAACCCCGAGAGCGGCGCCACGTGAACCATCCCGATTGCGTGCAGATATTGGTTTGTAATCGTTTCATTTTAAACATCAATTTTCAAAAGGTTTTCGTAAAGACGTTGCTACTTCGTCTTGGATCATTCCGATGATTTTAGGTATGATTCTTTTTTTTTTAGTAATTTTCTAGTAATTACGTCGAATTAGCGATATCGGAAGCGAAAAATCGTGTCGACTTTGAATAACTTAATTCTCGTTGTCTCTATGTTATCTCGTTTTCATGGTTGATATATTGAGAATTTATTTTTTTTTTAATTATTTTTCATTGTTAGTAATAACTCAATTTACGCGTGTCCTATATTTTTAGCGAGAATGGATCTTATGATGATTGATCGATTGATTTTGTTGTTGTATAGTTAATATTTATTTTATTTCTTTTGCGAATCGGAAAAGGGACATTTTTTGGTATTTTTTTATCAATCTATTATATGGATGTAAAAAGGAAAATGAATTTATTTCGATATATTTTTCACACAAAGAAATATATATATTTTGTTTCTAACATTATGATTCGATATTTGTTGTGAAAAATTAAAAGAATATGCTGAATTAGTTTTCGAATTACAGAACGATTGAAAAAGAAGAATACTTCGCGGAATAAATTTTGAACAGCTTAATGATTGTGGTATTTTTTGAACGAATGTTGTTGCAACAGAATTATAATTTAAATCTTGATTACAAAAAGATATATTTAAAAATCAAAATCTACCCTTTGTGGACTATTCGATGTAAGATTTTATTTATAATTCTAGTGTCATAGTGTAATATAAAAAAAAACACTTGAAAAAATAAAACACACATATACAAAACGCACTATTAGAAAACATACATATACATTAAAATGATCCATAAATAAAATTATAAATAAAATTCTTTGTATCACACAAATCCTAAATCATCTATAAAACAACTCTTATTTTGTCTCCGCAAAGAAATTTATATCATTTTTAATATTAAAAAAATATTCCCGCTCTTATCGTAATTTTTAAGTACATATATATACATATAAAGAAAACATTACCTGCGTTCTTTTTTGCAAATTGCAGCCACACGAAGGAGGGAGGATGCAAAAAATTCCTTCTAAAGCCTCTTGCACATTCGTATCTCTGTTTGTATCTCTGAATTCGGCAAAGAAATGGAACGGTCCATTGAATGCACGTGCGACATCGATAACAGTTGAGAGATGAACAATGTTAGCCTTAAGATGTATGTTGCGCTTGGACGTACTCCGTTTATAGGCGCAGACGTACACATATCGAATGTGCGCATACACATATACATATACACACGTGATCTTTTAATACCGTTTATTATGACCACTCGTATCACGGTCTGCAAATACACGTCGCTGCATTCATACGAGTTTCAAGCCTCTTTATATATATATATATATATATATATATATATACTGCATTTATGTGTGAAAGAAAAAATAACAGCATATGCATGCGCAAGAAATTTTTCTGGGTTTTCTTTACACAAAAACATTTCGATATTGATGTCCAAAATTATATGTTTAAAAACAGACGGATTTAATATATGAAATGTAAAATGAAATTCCAAAGGGAAATTTATTTAATTAATATGCTTTATCTGCTCTTTATGTGCATTTATTAATGTGCTCTAAATCTCTTTGAGATGCACTCGAATTCTGTTTCACGTATTGCTTAATCTGTAGACAAAAATATTTATATATATTTTAAATTGTGTTTAAATTTCAATCTATAATAAAAGTGTAGAATAAAAGAAACGGTATTATATTTTGGCCGTGTCCAAGTAAAATTTAGTGCCTTGTGCACAGGTTTTTAATCTTAACGAAAAAATTTAGTTTCGTTGGGATAACGCACTGTCATCCGCGATTTGGCTCTTATTGCCTGTTTGACACTCAATTTATAAAATATATACATCAAATGGTAATTTTATCAGCGGTGTTAATTGATTTGGTCAAATGGTTGTTATGTAATTCCTCTAAAATAAATATAGATAACAGTAGCAGACGAGATCACATTTTATTGAGTTGAAAATAATTTTAATGCATTATTGAGACTTTGCAATTAAAATGACATTAAACACAACATAAATCGATTAATTTTTAATTAAATAGATAATTAAAATTTTGATTACAGATCAAGCAATACGTGAGAAACAGAATTCGATTGTATCTCAAAGAGATTTAGAGGACACATTGGATATCAACACTATACGAAATAAACAATAATGATACAATAGGTTTTTTCTTATTGCTGCATTGGTGAGCTATAGTGCACACTGGTGCAATAAATTAAAGTGAAACGAGTATATTTTGTTTCTACTGCACTTGTAGACCCTAATTCACCAATGCAATAAGCAATAATAAAGAACAAACCCAATGTGTCCTCTAAATCTCATATTTATTAATGAATTGATATCAAAAACATCCATTTATAATTGAAATTAAAAAATAAAGGTACTATATTTCAAGATAAGCAATTAAGCAAGGAAAACTATACTTTTGAAGAATATTCAAATTTTAATTCTACGTTATACTCTTCAATACAGATTGCTTACTCAAGAGAAATGAAATAAGACCGATTCGAAAGAAGTATTTGATATATTTAATGAATGGACAAGATATAATAAATCTTATGAAATAATGGAACTATATGATTTGGAAAATAAACTGCTTTATGTATGGAATTGAGGCATCAAAAAAAGAGGCAAAGATGTGTCGACACGTAAAAAATAATCATGAAATTGACATAATTTCGGAGCCGAAAAAAGCGCATATGTCCAAAGATCGTCATCATTAAATGCACATCAACTTGCTCAACGCTAAATTTATTAATTGGCGTACTTAGTCGTGTGTGGATTCAATGATGACGATTGAGTTACAATTCTTCTTAGTACGATAAAAATTTTACGACCTAAAACGAATGAAAAGCTGTTAACACAAAAAAAGTATAGATTTTTACAAAGTTGCCGAAAAAGATAAGCGAATAATTAATAATATAAAGATATAAATATATATAATTGACAAGATTGTTTGCGAAATGTATTGAGAATTCATTATGTATTATTTCAAGCAATGACTATAGAACAGTGATAGGAGATGAAAATATTCCCAATAACTTTTTACATTCAAAAGTGCATTATTACAAGCTCCCATCACATGTACTCACGGTATATGTATTTGTTTCGAAAATCTGATCATTTATTATTTGATACACTTAAATTTGATCATTTAAAATACAATAATATAACACTGTAGCGATGTAAATTTTATTTACATTTATTTTATTATTTTATTTCGATAAAAGAATCAGAAAATCAAAAAATGTGGGAAATTGCGTAAACTATAATTATTGCATCGAGCGATCTGTTTGAACTGATTTTATTTGACCTGAAACAATAATACAAAAATTATTTTGTATATATATATATATATATATATATATATATATATATATATAATATATATAACTGCATTCATATGCGAAAAAAAACAAATAACAGCATAATTAACCTGTATACGCGAGAAATTTTTCTGGTTTTTCTTTACACAAAAACATTTCGAGATTGATGTTCAAAATTATATATTTAAAAATAAGGATGGATTTCAAATGTAAAATTAAATTAAATTCAAAGGGGAAATAGATTCTTTATTTATAGGAATATAATGTATGTACATATATATGTATACATTAAACGGTGATTTTATCGGCGGTGTTAATTGATTTGGTCAAATGCTTGATATGAAGTTCCTTGAAAATAAATGCAGATAGCAGTAGCAGACGAAGCTTTAATGCATGTGAAAATATGTTTAGTATAATTATTTTAATCGTAAACAAAATAAGTTATAGTCACTGTACATACGATAATGATAAACATAAATGATAAATATCATTGTACTAATTTTGATAAAATTTAATAGTATGAAAGCTTTACTACGAAAGAAATAAAGAAATTATATGTTCAGGATTCAGAATTAGGAATCTGTCAATGAAACAGCTGTTCGAACATATGTGTGTATAATATATGTACGTATTTGTACATATTATGTGTTCTACTTTAATTCTATATATGAATGACTTTTAACACTCTTACTTTAGTGTACTGATAATTTATCTCGGAACAAACAGCTTAGTATATATTATAGTATAGGTATATATTTATTATATAGATAAATTTTTCAAACATTTCTATAACAAGCAATTCTTGATAATATAATATTGCGTAATAAACGTAATAATGTATAATATTGTACAATGTAATTATATTTTACATCTTATATTATCTCTTATTATGAACTAAATTTTTCCAGACATTTTTTGCTATAAATAAAATACATTCTTTTAAATTTGCAATGTGAATTGATACAATTTATTATTTAATTGTTTATGTGAAAATATTTGTCGTTTATTAAAAATTATATATTTACAGATACACATTAGTTTTTTTACAATATAGCTTTTTTAATGACTTATACTTATTTTATATATATTAAATATGATCATATTGTATAACTTATGTTAGAGAAAATAATTATCTGTATATGCAGTTCTGTTTTTCACATAATTGAGAAATCTTGTCAGTGTATTGTAAAAGAAAAAAGTTACATCTTGTGATTAGATAAGACTATCAGTGACTGAATATATATAGAGTTCGATATACACGTATAATTCTTTGCAGTATCATTTGCCGATCCAAATCACTGTCTACCAGTCTGCTGATTTTCAAAATGGATTCAAATATAAAACCTTTGGATCCATCCAAATTAAACATTACAACAAAACCATTGTATCAACCTCCTCTCAATGAGTTAATAAATGGTAATTATGAAATCTTCTGAACGCAGTGTATTAGAAATAATGTAATCTTTATTGTATTGTATAACAGTCTTAGCAGGAGGATTGACTACAAACTTTGCGGAAGCCAATATTGAAATAGTTGATTGTCCTAACTTTACTGGATCACCTTATAATTTTTATCGAGAAGGTATTAGAAAAGAGAGAATACAAGCAATCAGAAGTTTATCTTACTTTTATTTCTTGAAATTAAGAGATTAATTATTCTTTTTCAGGTTTGTGTGGTAATCCAATTATTTTGGATATTGGTGGACCAGCATATCTTTTACCAACTGCTCAGAAGAACAAGTTTTATGATATTAAATTGTTACTACGTCACTTAAATTATAATCATGATTCACTTGTCGTTGGTGCAGGAGCTGGACCGTGGCCACATACACATTGCAATTGTGAAGTGTGTATTATATGACTAAATTATTTTAATTAAATTACTAATATCTCTTATTAGCGGACCAACAAAAAATATTATATATCTATTTTAGCTTATTATGAAGCTAAACGTACAAGTAAATAATAAAGTTGAACCAATGAAAAATGGAGTAGTGAATGGAACGCATTATGCATTTGTAAATAAGTCTAATGGAGAGTGCTTACTTGAGCGAGTAGTTGCCAATGAAGATGAAACAACTTTTTCATTGATGGCCAATCTATATGTGTGCAAAGGCAACCCAGGAAAAGTCATAAGAGTGCGTGCTAAAAAGCGTACTGGAAAGCTAGACTTTATATCATGCATGCAGAAAGCATTGGAGAATCATTATAAAGATAATCTTGTTGGTAGGTCTATCGCAAATTACATATGCCACTGTAATATAAAGTAAAGCATGAACACTTAAATTATAGTTGTTAAATATTTATAACATCTATAAATTTAGGTTTGGGTGGTATGTTTGTGATGAAGAATGGAAAAGTGAAGCAGCACATTATGCAGGACTTTTCAAACACACCGTTGAATACTGAAGAACAGCTTAACAGTTGGTTACGTTTCTACAATATGGAAACTCCTTTGATAGCTGTTGGTACATTTGTTAGTGCTGAGACAGTAAGTAAATTTCTGTATCAAGAGGAAATATAAAAATATATATACACAGATACACGATTGTGTGTGCACATATATGACTTTAAAATCTGAAATACGTTAATTGATATAAACTTTAAATGTGTGTGTGTGTGTTTGAAGTAATGATTTACAAATTTATATTAAATATTTGTACGCATTTTTATTTTATTCTGAGATAAAAATATTTTTCAGGAGTTAGATCTCAGGGTTCAGCATTTCCATAGTGCCTCTGATGAGAAAAAAGTGGGTGGACATTATCACATTGATACGACGCCAGATACTATTGAGTACGAAGGCTACTTTAACGTAGCAGCTACTCTTTATCGCGTCGATCAACCGCCTAATAAATTACAATTTGGAAAAGATTAATCGTTAAGATTTTATCAAATAACTTTACTTATAAACCAACAAATTGCTTCATCTAATTGCAGTGAAAATATGATATATTTTATTACAATTTATACAATTTATTCTAAAAAAATTTATCTTAAATAAAGTTTTTGAAAATAAAAAGATATATTTTTACAGAAACTATACACCATTATAACTGATACTAATTATTAATATTGTATATGATTGCTGTAAAAAGATATTCGCGTAATATCAAGTATATTGAATTAACTTTAAAGGTTATTTATCAATGATTACGCGAAAGAGTATTTTGTAACAATAAATTAGTTTTTTATATTTACAAATAATTTACATATAAAACTCATTAAAATTAGAGAATAACACTTTTGTATTTTCTCGTTAAAATAAATAAATATAAATAAGATAATTTAGCATTATAGTCTGAACAAAATAATTAAACATAAACATTTTATTTTAAGTAGATAAAATATACGTATTTTTTAAATAGTTTTAGGTGGCGTGTATGTAGTGAAAAATGTAAAAAATTGGTCACATGAAGGAGTAGATGAGAATTCTTCTCAAGATGAAAATATATATACATTACTTCATTATTGTAATATAAACATGCCTGAAATAACAATTAGCACATTTAATAGTAGCAATACAGGAATTGTCTCCTATTCAGGAGTTCCACCTGTAACATCAATATTTAGTAACATTAATATTTAGCTTCAGCAATCAAGCTTTAAAAATTAATATATTGCACAGTTTCATACACGAACTTTATATTTTTTTTAGACTTTGACTTGTAAATCTATACAATCTTTATCTCATCACAATAGAATTGAAAATTTTTGTGTGGCTAAAACTGAAACGAACGATATAGAATTCTTAGGATATTTTTGCCCAGCAGAAATGGCGTATCATTTAAATGATCCGCGCATTTAACTTTCGAAATTGCAATCGGTTAATGTTGGAAACAGTACATCATTTGCGTTTACTTTTTAATTATAACAATATTGCTGATAAAATATTGTTCTATTTATATTATTAATGTAATCTTTTCTTTAAATGTGTGCATTATATTAATTCAATTTCAATCTGTTATATTAATTTTTTTATATTTACATTTTTAATTTCTCAGCTAATCTAATTTAATTTAAAAGAATAATATTCATAAAATTAAAAATAATTATGGTATAATTACACAAATCTAATGGACAAATCTAATGTACAAATGCACAAATCTAATGGAAGCGCAGATATTTTAATAAATTTAAAGATTCTTGTAGAAAATTATATTTTTTGTTTTCTGTTAAAAATTTATATATTGAATTTTTGAATGAATTAATACATATATTTCTATGCATGCATTGCAATAATTTTATTGCGTTGCAATTTTTGAAGTTTTATTATCAAAGAATAATATAACTTCGTTTCGCGCACGTAATTATATTCGATTAAATTAAACAAAATAAAAAATAGAAAAAATTATATAAATAGTTACATATATACAAAATAGTTGTCAAAATAGAAGTTCGACGAATTAAAATTATGATCATATTTATAGCATCAAGCAACTGTCATCGCGAAGATTAACAATTTGACAATTGTAAAATAAATAATAGGAATAATATCAAAGGCGCGCGCTTGTGTCGTCTAGTATTAATAAAAATCATAAATTAAATTACACAATTGTTTATACATATTTAATGGGTGAACTAGTAGATCTCATCGATTTCTACAAGATTATTCTTTGTACCTTTGCCGTAGGCTACTGCTTTTTCGAAATAATAAGAAAAACGATTTAAACGGTAATATATCCAAAATGGAGAATCTTACGCAGACAAGTAAAAGTTTCTACTTCGACACTTTGATTTTAGATTTTTGTAGATAATAATTATTTCTTTAATAAAACTTGGAATCAAATATATTTTATCTCATAATATAAGTTTTGACAAAATGCGAGCATAAATTAATTAATACAATCTAACAAATGTATCACGACACATTTTATTATTTTTAATCTTTCAATCCTATAATCCTATATGTTTTATCATATTATATTATAAAATTATATCATAATAATCCTCCCAAAGGGTACACCTTGACGTGGTGGGATGGCTTAGTACCTGGATGGACAATCCTTTATCATTTATTTTAAAGGATTATCCTGAATGGGAAGCGAAGTACCCAAACGCGTGTTCGTGTATTCGCATACGATCTCGTTATTTTTTCGAAGATCATACTTGCCATACGATCAGCATGAGATAGACGTATACATATTGTTGGAATTCGTTGAGGACCGCAGGAGCTCCGCGAGTAAAGTAGACACTTTCAGTTTGGCACGAAAACAGTAATTTATTATTTATGAAGAAAGTAAAGTGATCAGCCAATGACTGTTAATTAACAAAGAACAGCCAAAGAGTATCGCGCAAGGAGAAAATAAATCGTACAATGTTCTTATCACGCCACGTGACCGTTAACGCTATGCGTGTTCTTATTTTCGAGCGATACCTGATCAGAGTAAGTGATTCGGAGTAGGGGAGTTATATCGGAGTTTTTGCGCTTACAAGTACGATTTTGTTCTTTTTTACCATCTCTCCAAACTCATTTTTCATCTTATGGATTACTACCTTTCCTTTTGACATTTTTTATATATATTTCTTCTTTTAATTCCCCATATAGAAAAGCGGTTTTTATATCAAATTTTAAAAAATGATATTTATTATTTGCTATCAACAAGAACAAAATTTTTTACGTTACTCGTGGAGCTCCTGCGGTTCTCGACGAATTCCAACAATATGTATACGTCTATCTCATGCTGATCGTATCGCAAGTATGATCTTCGAAAAAATAACAAGATCGTATGAAGAAATTAACACAAGTTTTTTCTTTGTTCAACAGGTATTACTGAGTGCCGATGCAGTTAGTTAATAGGGGTTGTTTGTCCAAAGGGGTTCTTTCTTCCTTCGAAGCGTTTGTCTCAATTCAAACGGGGGCATCTTAAAAGACTTCGTTTTCTTTCATTTCTGACAGTTTTTCCACTCCTTCAGCATTTTGTTCTTCCAGGTCTTCATCATCTTTTGCATCTCCTGCGCCTTCTTTGTCTGAATTTTGCGATTTCTTTTCTCCTTTTATTGCTTTAATCATTTTTTTGGACTTTCATGGAATACTACAACTATTCTTACTACGATTTTTCTTCTTTCTGTATTCCATAGTTTGTATCCTGACCATCTTCCTTCGAAGCGTTTGTCTCAATTCAAACGAGGGCATCTTAAAAGACTTCGTTTTCTTTCATTTCTGACAGTTTTTCCACTTCTTCAGCATTTTGTTCTTCCAGGTCTTCATCATCTTCTGCATCTTCTGCGCCTTCTTTGTCTGAATTTTGCGATTTCTTTTCTCCTTTTATTGCTTTAATCATTTTTTTGGAATACTACAACTATTCTTACTACGATTTTTCTTTTTTCTATATTACATAGTCTGTACCCTGTATAATCTCTTGAGCGTATGGGTTTGGAGAAAGGAATAGATGATAATAACACGCTGTCCCCAAAATGTTTCCTGACCATCTTCTCCTGCATAGGGATAATTTTATATTGATACCAGTATGTTTGACGAAGGCTATAGTACACGTTGTAGAAACGGTCTATCAAATTCATATCTTTATCCAAATCATTTGCTAACAAATCTGGCAAATAAGACCACAATATGGGATTTCCTGCGACACGAGAAACATAATTACATTGATGCCATAATTATACACGACACGTGTATCTCTTGAGCGTATGGGTTTGGAGAAAGGAATGGATGATAATAACACGCTGTCCCCAAAATGTTTCCTGACCATCTTCTCCTGCATGGAGATAATTTTATATTGATACCAGTATGTTTGACGAAGGCTATAGTACACGTTGTAGAAACGGTCTATCAAATTCATATCTTTATCCAAATCATTCGCTAACAAATCTGGCAAATAAGACCACAATATGGGATTTCCTGCGACACGAGAAACATAATTACATTGATGACATAATTATACACGATACGTGTATCTCTTGAGCGTATGGGTTTGGAGAAAGGAATGGATGATAATAACACGCTGTCCCCAAAATGTTTCCTGACCATCTTCTCCTGCATGGAGATAATTTTATATTGATACCAGTATGTTTGACGAAGGCTATAGTACACGTTGTAGAAACGGTCTATCAAATTCATATCTTTATCCAAATCATTCGCTAACAAATCTGGCAAATAAGACCACAATATGGGATTTCCTGCGACACGAGAAACATAATTACATTGATGACATAATTATACACGATACGTGTATCTCTTGAGCGTATGGGTTTGGAGAAAGGAATGGATGATAATAACACGCTGTCCCCAAAATGTTTCCTGACCATCTTCTCCTGCATGGGGATAATTTTATATTGATACCAGTATATTTGACGAAGGCTATAGTACACGTTGTAGAAACGGTCTATCAAATTCATATCTTCATCCAAATCATTTGCTAACAAATCTGGCAAATAAGACCACAATATGGGATTTCCTGCGACACGAGAAACACAATTACATTGATGACATAATTATACACGACACGTGTATCTCTTGAGCGTATGGGTTTGGAGAATGGAATGGATGATAATAACACGCTGTCCCCAAAATGTTTCCTGATCATCTCCTGCATGAGGATAATTTTATATTGATACCAGTATATTTGACGAAGGCTATAGTACACGTTGTAGAAACGGTCTATCAAATTCATTTCTTCATCCAAATCATTTGCTAACAAATCTGGCAAATAAGACCACAATATGGGATTTTCTGCGACACGAGAAACATAATTACATTGATGACATAATTATACACGACACGTGTATCTCTTAAGCGTATGGGTTTGGAGAAAGGAATGGATGATAATAACACGCTGTCCCCAAAATGTTTCCTGACCATCTTCTCCTGCATGGAGATAATTTTATATTGATACCAGTATGTTTGACGAAGGCTATAGTACACGTTGTAGAAACGGTCTATCAAATTCATATCTTCATCCAAATCATTCGCTAACAAATCTAGCAAATAAGACCACAATATGGGATTTTCTGCGACA